CTGTGTATATATCTACTCAGCATCATGTGACAAAAATGACTGAAAACAAGTTATTCATTTAGTGAGACTTTTTTTTAGCAAAAATGCCACTAGGACTCAAGGGGTTATAAGAGTTGAAGAGAAATGAGAAAACCTTAGTGAGGACAAGTGACAATAATTGAACGGGCCTCAGGAAGCCATAAAAGGGACTTCTACGGGCGAGAAGTCATAGAAAAATAAACTACTGGAATAGAACATATGGTTGCATCAAGATAGTTCAACAATAAAATAGATAAGCCTAGTTGCCAATCTAGTTGCACGCTTACATTTTAGCAATGGAAACAGCAAGAAAGAAAGCTCATCAGAAGAATTGCCATGGAAATATTTGTAGAAAAGTCAGAAGGAATCTACATCATGTTGTTAAGAAAGTGACTGAAATCGAGATGCCAGGTCAAGATGGATAACATTACAGACCCTTCTTCGAATTTTTGTTGAGAATCTCGAGTTATATAGCAGGATCACAAGACCTGCAGCAATATTCAATTCACAGATAAATGATATATTTATAAATAGGCAACATGCATTCTGACGAGAAAAATTGTTTTGCGCAACACAGTGAACCAACTTTACTAGCATTAAACCTAGCAATTGATTTAATATAATCACTTGACTTCATGTCAGTGGAAAACATCTGATGGCAGGCATGAAAGGTCCTATATGATGAATAAATGAAAGCGTTTTTTTTTTCTTTGATACATTAAATTTCACAAGCCATTCCTTGCCCCAGTTAACCACTGATTAGATCTCCTTTTTGAAAACAGTTGCCAGTTTTACTTTGTCGGACTGATGATATTAGAAATATCGTTGATGAACATATGAAACAACGTTGGTCCAAGTATAGAGCCATTAAATACGATAATAAAAGTAATAGGTGAAACTCCAAATCGTAAAAGTACTGGGGTCTCCATCACACTGAGAAACTTGTCAGGGTGTTGAGGAGTTTTGCTGACACCCAATCTCCAGCGATAAAAAACTATTTGAAACAACGAAACCGCAGTACTAATAAAAAAAATAAATAAATATTTAAAACTACGTTTATTCTACAATCGTTTTCAGCTCTTAATTGATTTAAAAATCGTTATCTTATCGACATTTAATTAGAAATTTTTAAAAACAAAATGGCTGCCATGTGAGTTTTTTTTTCCTCGTTAATGACGGATAATTACGGCAAAGATATCTTCTTTTAACAGAAATCAGTTATTCACAAAGGTACACGTTTTTTATACGTTTTGGTCTCACGTTTTCGACTGACATTAAATGGAATTATTATATTGAATCAATTGCTTGGTCTGTTACTTCGCTGTTTCATGTCAGATAATTTTCTTGAACATTTATAAATCTACTATTCTCTCGTGCATTAAATATTGCTGCCAAATGTGGTCTAATGCTAATGTTATACATGATATATATATATATATATATATATATATATATATATATATATATATATATATGTAAGCAAATGTAAAAGGATATAGATCCGACAGAATGAAGAAAAATTTGGAAAAAACAAACAAAAATCCTTAAATGCAATTATGTTGTTTAAAATGAATGAAATGTCGACGTCTGACGTTTCGGTTTAATAAACCTTTTTCAAGACAATATTCATTTTGTCATTTTGCGCTGATGAGTAATATTATTATATTGGAAGAAACAAAACATAATTTGATGCATTTCGAGATAGAGATAGGTAGCTTAAAGTCAATTTTCTTAAAGAAAAAGAATAAAGAATTCAGGCTCTCTTCTAAATAAGTTGAGAAATATTGATATTGATAACAAATCACTAGCTAGCTTAGACATCAAATCTTTATATACTAATATACCTGTTGATAAATGCATTAAACAATTAGAGAACCACCTTAAGAAAATTGACTTTAAGCTACCTATCTCTATCTCGAAATGCATCAAATTATGCACCCTTTACATTTCACATTGTTTCTTCCAATATAATAATATTTATTATAAACAAAAATTTGGTTTACAATTTCAGTTGCCTCTGATAATATTTCGTTTGGTCGCATCTTTCTACCAAATAACCATTTGACCGAACGTATCTCTCATAATCTAAATGCATTAAAAATTAGAACTACTATATTACCTACTAGGACTATCCGTAGTTTATTAAATAGCACCAGCAGACAACATATTACATCCGATGCTTGCATCTATCAAATATCATGCAAAAATTGTGACCTAAAATATGTGGGTGAAACAGGTAGGTCCTTAAAATCTCGTGTTTTCGAACATAAACGAGATATTCGTCTCGGTAATTTTAACAATGCTTTAGTTGTACACACAACTAAAGCAGATCATAATTTCGATTTCGATTCCGTGAAGGTATTAAAATATTTTCATAATAAAAATCTCAGGAGGATTTATGAAGCAGGTATAATATCCATCTCACGCACGGTGAATACTAGACCTGGTTTCTTTAATATTTCCCCTTTTTTAGCGAGATTAATGCTCGACAAGCATACACATAAAAATTTTAGATCCTAATAGAATTCTTTTCATTTTCTTTTTCATTTCTAAATAATCACAAATTTTTAGGAATACGTTTTGAAAGCGTCGCCCATGTGACGACAACGTGACCATGCTAAACGGAAAGCTGATCATTTTAAAATTTTTCAGTTATCTGTTTTGGATAAGACTTGTTTTTTTCTGTCCATCGTCTTTGTCAAATTGAACTGAATTGTATTTTAATGAATATTGTCTTGAAAAAGGTTTATTAAACCGAAACGTCAGACGTCGACATTTCATTCATTTTAAACAACATAATTGCATTTAAGGATTTTTGTTTGTTTTTCCAAATTTTTCTTCATATATATATATATATATATATATATATATATGTATAGTTAAATTCCCAGATCAATTCAATGAACAAGACATATTGTTATAAAATGATAATTGGAAAAAATCTTAGATTTCGCCGACGCGTTTCGTCTTCCGACTTTTTTCAAGGCAAAAATGAAATCGAAATATTTTTGTTGTTATAGTTACATTTAAAATATCCAAATTTAAAAAGATAGACACTTCTGTCAAAGCCTTTTTTTCCTGGTTAATGTAAATTACCTTTATAGTAAGGGATTTTTTCCATGTCGACCATATAGTTAGATTCCCAGGTCAATTCTGTGGACAAGACAGACTGGTATAAAATGATAATTCGAAAAAAATCTTGGATTTTGCCGACGCGTTTCGTCTTCCGACTTTTTTCAAGGCAAAAATGAAATCGAAATGTTTTTGTTCTTATAGTTGCATTAAAAAATCCAAATTTAAAACGATAGACGCTTCTGTCTAAGCCTTTTTTCTGGTTAATTGATCTACGAATTTAACTATATTGTCGACATGGAAAACATCCCTTACTATAAAGGTAATTTACATTAACCTTGAAAAACTCGGAAGATGAAACGCGTCGGCAAAATCTAAGATTTTTTTCTAATTGTCATTTTATACCATATATATATATATATATATATATATATATATATATATATATAGTGTGTGTGTGTGTGTGTGTGTGTGTGTGTGCAGTTTATATTTTATGTCATAAAGAAACAATTTATACAAAAGAATTAAATAGCAATGTTATTGTGATTAATGGTGAAATCACTTCGCTAACAAGACTTAATGAGACATTAACTTACTATCAGTTCTTTGAATAATAAATCCTTATATTCGAGTTGTTGTCGCCTGAGGATACCGCAAGATTGTAACCAAGGTCGCGTATTCAGCTGATCTCCTATTTTCTAAAGTTAAGAGATCTTCATGTTAATTCTATTCTTTTCACGCGTGTATTGAGCACTTTTGATACTACTGTTTCCTAGTCTGATTCAACTCCAACCGTTAACCTTTATATATATATATATATATATATATATATATATATATATATATATATATATATATTGAACAATAAAAAAAATATTAAAAAATTAAAATCTTTAGACACACTGGGTTGTAGATTAATATTCTTTCGTTTTTTTTTATTATTATTTCATTTAGATTCCTCGACTAGTTTCGACCAAAATGGCCATCATCGGGAGGAGAAATATTTCTGCTTGCTGGTAGCAGTAAACTACAGAAATGAATGTCTTGTTGGAGAAAATGAACTTTTGTATGTAGTTTTCATTTGTTTTTTTAATGTTTTTATCTTTTTAACATGAATCTTTTAGCATTCTTTGTGTTGGTCAAACAGTCTCTTTTAAGTTGTTATTTGAGATAAGAGCTGGATAGATACATGCTGCTCTGAATTCTCTGGTCAGTTTGACAGTTTTATTGGACCTGGTGAGGTGATGTGTCTGTTTCGAGTTTGTGTGTGTGTGTTATTTGGTTCTTAGGGAGTGAGTGAGTATATGTGTAAGCGTGTGTATTGCTGTGGGTGTGTGTTATCATTTGGCTCATTAGGGAGTGAGTGAGTATGATGTGTGTAAGTGTGTATATTCGTGTGGGTGTGTGTATAAGTGTAATATATATATATATATATATATATATATATATATATATATATATAAGGTACATGCTAAACTATATGACGAGGTGCTAAAAAGTTTCCGGTTCGACGCAGTTCTCAAAGTTAGACAAAACTGAATTTTGGAGTAATCCATTTTGAACTTTTCAGCTTCCGCTCATATTCAGAGAAAAAAGAAATCTAAGAAATAATTTAACCTTCCCTTGGAATCTCAGCTGAACGTATTATGATCAGAGAAAGCAATACAAAATGATCTATATCTATGTTTAAAAAAAAACGAAGTAACACATTTGATAGTGTACTACCTTAAGAGCTACTTGAAATAATAGGAAAGCTTGATTTACACGAAAAGATATAGTAATAATCTATAATCTCTACAGGGTAACATGTAGTTTGCAATTAACAGCGTAAGCGGATGTTAAAGAGATAAAATATATTTAGAGCATCGAAGGAAAGAAACTTTTTTTTTAATAATACATAGTTTGTTTTTATGAATTGTCTCTCCCTCTCTTTAAGATTTCTCTCTTACTTGGATTCTCTCTTTCTTTCTAATATTTTACTCTCCCTATATTTACGATTCCTCTCACATTCTCTTTGTAATTTTTTGATCTCTCATTACGATTCTCTCTCTCTTTACGATTTCTCTGCCCCCCTTATTATATCTATCTATCTATCTATCTATCTATCGTTAGGATTCTCTCTCTCTCCCTCAATGATTTCTTCCTCACCTTCTCTTTACAATTTCCCTTTTCTCGCCTTTCTATTAACGATTTTCTTTCTCTCATTATTATTCTCTCTCACTCTTTCTCTATCTATCTCTGTTAATGTTTTTCAATCCTGTTTTGTATTCATATATATATATATATATATATATATATATATATATATATATATATATATCGCTCGCTCGCTCGACTCTCCCGTATGAGGGTCAAGCAGATCAGTTCCTAGTTAACCGACAGCCCGACAAAAACACATGATATTTGATTATAATGGTGAAGGTTTCGTGCAAGACCAGCCACACTTTTTGAAGGGCCGAATACAGAGACCTGGTGCACTACGTGCCACAAGGTCCCCAAACGACCCTCTGCAGGTTTTGAATTAGAGTTGTCGTTCTCCTAGACCAGCTATGGGTAAATAGCAGGACAGACTGGGTACTATAGCCTTGGATGGCAACTGGTCTACATATATATATATATATATGTGTGTGTGTGTGTGTGTGTGTATGTGTGTGTGTGTGTGTGTAGTTTATGCAAAACTAGGTAATCCGTATTAGATCCAAGGAGGATGATATCCAGAGAGCTCAATCTAAATTCAGAGCAAATATGTTTGAATGAAAACAGACCACTTTAAGTTTCCATGTAATAAGTTATTTCACCACAACCCTTTTAAAGGGCTCTGGATCATCAGACCTTACTTCCAAATGTTGAAATGAAATACATATATATATATATATATATATATATATGATAAAAACGTAATTTTGAAGTCTGCTATATTTATGGGTTAAAGTGCTTAATATCAGAAACGCAACGTATGTAAATATAAAAGTGTAGACCGGGGTCAACACCTCGCGGCGACAGTCAGTTTCATGCTTAAACGCCATCGTCAGTCTATGACATGGTCTCACGATTGCGATTAAGCATGAAACAAATATCGCTCGGTGTTGACTTAAATGTCCACACACACACACACACACACACACACACACACACACATATATATATATATATATATATATATATATATATATATATATATAAATATATATATTTTTTAGGTACTAAATTTAATGATCGGAATAAAACTATAAAACTTAATATTACGAGACATATTTAAAAAAAACGGGCGAAGCAACCGGTTTCGCACCCGCTCTTCAGGCTTCAACGGGAGATTTAATTTAAAATTAACACAGAAAATTGTACAATAAAAGGAAGTTGTAAAAAAAAAATTCAAAAGGAACTAGAGACATATGACATATGTTATAGTCCGGTTTCTTGTACCACGGTGATAGTCCAAGGTAGAACCAATAAAGAAGAACTCGAACACGGATATGGAATAACACAGATATATTACAAACAGGAATATATACAGAGAAGTAGAAAGTGTTAGTACGAACAATCAGGTTTAGTAGGGAGAACAATGTAGACTCGACCAGTATCACTATTCCAATGTCATGTAGTAATTGTCTGAACGCGACTCTGTTTCGGACTGCCTCTGACTCGACTCTTGACTCGACTTGAACTGTTGACTCTTAGCCTACTCCTGAGGCGCAGTATTTATTAAGTATGGAATAGTCCATTATTATTAGTATGGGTAAGATCCCATAACAATATATATAGGATTAATATGAGTAAAAGTTTGTCACTTAGCTGACTGGTGTTACGTTCAGCATTCCTTGCTATCTATCTATCTATCTATCTATCTATCTATCTATCTATCTATCCCATACCTTTCATTATCTATCTATCTATCTATCTATCTATCTATCTATCTCATACTTTTCATTATCTATCTATCTATCTATCTATCTATCTATCTATCTAGGCTCTTTTTCTCTCTCTCTCTTTCTCCTCTTTTTCCCCTTCTACTATTATTCGTTTCATCTCACTTTCCCTTCTTACCTCTCTTTACATTCTCTAAGCGGGTTAAATTCGAACAGTTCAAAGATGGCGCATTTCTTGTTCTCTGTTTATCTGCCACCATATCTGAACGAATTTTACACTTTTCTTTCTTCTATTCTAATGACAAAGGGACTAATATGCTATGCATTTCATGAATAAAATATGGACGAAAATAAAAATATTCTAAAGCAAAGACAGGAATTTGTCCGTGTTCATAGTTGGATGTCCAAGTTCATTCGGTCTTTGTAAAAGGATATCAATTGTGTCAAAAGGTTTCGGTTTTCTGGTCAACGGCCGAGATCAAAGATTTAGAAAGATGTAGACAAAGGAGACTGGTGCAAGAGGACATTACATGTTTTATCATAGATAGATAGATAGATAGATAGATAATGAAAAGTATGGGATAGATGGATAGATAGATAGATAGATAGATAGATAGATAGATAGATAGATAGATAATGAAAAGTATGGGATAGATAGATAGATAGATAGATAGATAGATAGATAGATAGATAGATAGATAATGAAAAGTATGATTAATCACCATAGAGATCCTTCCCTGCCCCCCATTAAAATGTCTGATAGTCAACTTCCTGAGAGCAACTCCCTGCGTCTGGTCGGTCTCACGCTGACTGCTAACCTGAGATGGAACAAATACATTGAGTCAATTGCTTCTTCCACCGCGAGGAAAGTTGGCTCTCTGTGCCGCGCCAGGAAATATTTCTCCCCTGAATCGATACTTCAAATATACAAAACAACCATTCGCCCTTGCATGGAGTATTGCTGCCATATATGGGCTGGAGCACCTTCTGCTTACCTCGGAGTTCTTGACAAGATCCAGAGAAGGATATGTAATCTAATTGGCCCTGATCTAGCGTCTTGTTTGCAGTCACTCTCTCTCACAGACGCGCCGTCGCCTCTCTCTGTCTTTTTTCTACAAATACTTCCATGGTAACTGCTCTGATGAGCTGCTCTCTGGTTCCCAGACTCCATGAATTCAAGCGCCCTACGAGGCTGGCATCCCGCTCTCACCCTTACACCGTAGAAACCTTCAAATGTAGCCGTCTCTTCTACTCCAATAGCTTCATACCTCGCACCTCTCGCCAGTGGAACACCCTCCCCAATTACTGTTTCCCTGAAAGCTATAATCTCCAACTATTCAAATGTAATGTCAATCGACATCTCCAATTACCTTGATCTACCCACTATCCTTCTCCTATCACTCTTATCTGCTCTCGCTTCAAATCTTCCGCAACCCCCTGCATCCTAGTGGCTTCACGCCTTGGTTGGGGCACAATGCTTAAAAAAAAAAGATAGATAGATAGATAGATAGATCATAAAAAGACTGCACTAAATAATAGAAACCGCACCACTTGAAGACTTCAAGACAGCAACAATAACTAAAATGGATAGACCGTGTAACTGGAGGATTAAATAATGTTAACATCAAGATGCTGACATTACCTCAAACAAAAAGTTAGGAAGGACCCCCCACGTCAATACTGGAAAATAATTAACAACTACTGCACTTGAGAACCCTATTTTCCCGAAAAAATATTTTCTGAGAAACATTTTATAAATTTCATCCGAGATCTGCACTTACTCGAACAGTGAATGCTGAATGTTTCCTTATAAGGTAATAGCTTATATTACTAATGTTATGGTCCGGTTCCTTGTACCACGGTGATAGTACAAGGTAGAACCAATAAAGAAGAACTCGAACACGGATATGGAATAACACAGATATATTACAAACAGGAATATATACAGAGAAAAAGAAAGTGTTAGTACGAACAATCAGGTTTAGTAGTAATTGTCTGAACGGGACTCTGTTTCGGACTGCCTCTGACTCGACTGATTGACTCGCTCGCTCTGACTGACTGATAGACTCCTGGCGGACTTCACTCCAGACTTCAGACTGAACTCAACTGCCTGCTTCCTCTTGAGGCGCAGTATTTATTACGTATGGAATAGTCCATTATGTTATTATGGGTAAGGTCACATAACAACTAAAAACAATACAATCTAGCTATGTACCAGTCTGAATATATACATATATATATATATATATATATATATATATATATATATAGATAGATAGATAGATAGATAATGTAATATAGATAGATAGATAGATAGATAGAGAGAGAGAGAGAGAGAGAGATAGATAGTGTAATATAGATAGATAATAGATAGATAGTGTAATATATATATATATATATATATATATAAGTAAAGAAAATCTTGGTAATCCATATAGATAATTCCAAGAAGGATGAAATCCAGAGATAAAAATGTTAATTCATGCATGAGCAATGTAGAAAAAATTATAAGCTCTCACAATAGCAAAATTATTGGGGAATTTCACAATAACCAATTACAAAGTGTTCTTAATGCAAGCCAATTCAAAAAAGACTTCTACCTGTAATTGCAGAGCAGGATCTGATTGTCCAGTAGGAGGAATATGCATGGCAGAAAACGTGATATACGAAGCTACAATTTCCCCCAAGAAAAATGTAATACAAAAAAAAGATATATATAGGAATATCTGCGGGAAATTGGAAACAGCGTTTTTACAACCATCCCCAGTCCTTCACAAATTAATCCAAAAGACACCAAACAGCACTATCGAAACACTATTGGGATTTATTGGAAAACGGCTTCACCCCACAAGTGAAATAGATAATCATCTCTAGGGCTCGAACTCCAATAAATTTCATAGACAGATGTAACCTGTGTATTAAAGAGAAGATCCATATGTGCGGGTACATAATTGTATGTATATAAATGTGTTTAAAGCTTTAAAGTGGTCTGTTTTCTTTAAATTATATATATATATATATATATATATATATATATATATATA